TGCAACAAGCCTGGCCTTATGTCGTGCCAAACTACCATCAGCTTTGTATTTGAGGCGATAAACCCAACGGGAACCAACGATATTAACTAGGGATGAAGGAGGTGGGACTAGAGTCCACGTATTATTTTGGAGAAGGGCCTGGTATTCATCTCGCATAGCACGCTGCCAACACTCATCCTTGGAAGCTTGTGTGTATGTCTTTAGTTCTATGGGTGTGTCTGTGGTAGAAAGGAAAGCGTATTTTGGATTGGGTTTTTTTATCCCATCACGAAGTCGAGTGCGCATTGGATGTTGTGGTTGGACTGGTGTAGGAGAAGGTTCGGTGAGTGAGGTGTTTTGTGAAGATTGTAACGAAGGAGTAGTAGAGAAGTTGGGGTAGGTATCGTGGGTAGGTTCTGTAGGTGGGATGGATATTGAAGATAGAGATGGTGGTGTTTAGATTGGACTGGAAGAATGAGGAGAAACCAAGGGTGCAGAAGGAGGATGAGGGTCGGTTGGAGATAAAGTAGAGGTAGTTAACGGTGTTGTATTTTAAGTAGGAGATGAAGACAAAGGGAGTGCAGCGTCTGAACTCTTAGGTAGAGAAGATATTGATGGAACCAGAAGTGTGGGTAATCAAAAAAATAGCATTGGTGTCAAAAGAAGGAGATAAAGATGAGCATGGGATAAAGACTTGATCAGTAAAGGGAAAATAATCCTCATTGAAAATCACATTGCGCGAGATTATTACCTTGCGAGAAGTCGGATTATAACATCGAAACCCTTTGTGATGAGGGGATAAGCCAATAAAAATATGGAGATCCGATCAAGTAGTAAGCTTATGGCGAGCAGGATGCATATTCAGAGGATAGCATGCACATCCAAAAACCCTAATAAGATCAAAGGATGGCTTGCGACCAAAAAGAATTGTAAAAGGACTATCCCACTGAAGAGAGACATGAGGAATTCGGTTTTGGACAAAGTTAGCATATTGTAAGGCCTTTACCCAGAATGTAGGTGGAAGATTGGCTTGGAGTAGAATTGACCTAACTGAGTTTAACAAGGAACGATGTTTCCTCTCAGCCATGCCATTGTGAGGATGGCTGTAGGGACATGAGAGGATGCCATATTGAGCAAGATAGTTATCAAACTCTTTATTACAGAATTCTCCACCCCCATCACTTTGCAGAAATCAAATTTTTGCATTGAAATGAGTCATAAGTTCTGCATGCAACAATTTAAACTTGGAAAAAACTTCATTCTTATAACGTAAAGGATAGATCCAACAGAACTTAGAGAATTCATCCAAAAACAGAACGTAATACTTATAGCCAGTAAAAGAAAGGACAGGTGATGTCCATACATCACAATGAAGAACATGAAATAACCCTAAACAAGGCTCTAAAGACGTGTGATAAGGTAACTGTGTTTGTTTGCCAAGCTGACAAGCAAGGCAAAAAACATCCTTATTGAATGAAGAACATAAACTTGGAAATTGAGAATGAAAATGCCGCATAACAGGGGCTCCAGGATGACAAAGACGTCGATGCCAAACAGAGCTTGAGACATGGCGAACATGAAGAGCATGCTGTGAGGAACAAGAATCAGATTCTGGATCGGACAAGAAGTAGAGAGCCCCGGGATCATTGCACCGAATCATTTGTTGAGAAAGAGGACCCTTCACAAAAAAACCAAGAGAATAAAAAACAAGACTACAAGAATTATCATAAGAAAATCGTTCAACAGAGATAAGGTTTTTGTGAGTTTGGGAACAACAAGAACATCTAGAAGAACAAAAGAGAAAGATCCAATAAAAAGAACTTTGGAACCAATATGAGTGATGGTAAAAGTCGTACCATCACCCACTTGAACTGAATCCGTCCCGGAGTACTCAGTAAAAGAATCAAGAGATGAGGTGGAATTGGTCATGTGGCTGGTGGCTCCTGTGTCGGCGAACCAGGTTTGTTGTTGCTGCTCATGCACACCAGCAAAGGTTCGTTGAGGACAGTGCTTGGCAGTGTGATTATATCCATCACAAAGCTGGCACTTGGCAGGAGAAGGACCCAATACAGAAGAAGAGGACTGTGGCTGCTTCGAAGTGGAGAAAGAAGGAGACGGTGATCGGGACTGAGAATTGAAGTTTTTAGGACGAGGAGAATTATACTGAGGTTTGAAGTGCTGGGAAGGAGTCCATGGTGGGCGATAGGAATTGGTGCCACCACGACCTCCACGGTCACCGCGTCCACCTCGACCGCCACGGCCACGGGTGCTTGTAAAAAGAGCTTGAGTAAAATCGGGAGTGGAGGTTTTGCTCTTGCGAGTTTCCTGAGCAAGCAACAGGGAACGAAGCTCATAGAAAGAAGGGAGGGGAGATTTGGAGGTGATGAGGGTAACTATATCACTTTAGTCATCAAGTAACCTATCGAGGATCTGCATGATGATATCCTCATCACTAACCTTGCGACCTATGGACTCGAGATTGTCGGCAATGCGACGGACAGAATAGATATACTCAGACATAGTTTTGGACTTCTTTTTAGAAGTAACAAAGACAGTGCGATACTCCATATAACGGGCTTGAACCTGGTCATGGAAGAGCTGTTGAATGAACAACCAGACTTCTCGCGCAGTAGGAAAAGAACCTGGACGCACAATCTGATTTAAAATATCTGCATTAATGGTTGTATAAATCCATGTGACTAGGGTACTGTCAATTTGACACCACTGAGTTTAGAGAGGGTTAGGGGAAAGAGGTGTGTTTGGCTCAGTGGAAGGAATGAAAGGGTCTGGTGGTGTTCCGGTTCCATCAACATGATCTAACACCTGGTGAGAATGAAACACAGTATAAAGAAGACTTTGCCATACTAAAAAGTTGCTAAAATCAAGAACAGTGGGAACATGGTTCCTAATGTTGCTAACAGAAAGAACAGAATGTAGAGAAGAGGATGTTGGTGCTGACCCAACCAGAATAGAGGAATTAGAAGACGATCCAGTGGATCCAGAAACAGCAGAAGGGGAAGTGTTAGGAGAGGAAGACATCACTGAGGAGCTGTAGTCGGACAGGAAGGGTTTGAGAGAAGGTTTTTTTTAAAAAAAAAAAAAAACTTCAAAGGATGAGCACCTGCTCCGCTACCATGAAAGGGTTGAATACCAAGATGCCTTGCCTAGCTATCCTGATGTGTATATATTGATATTAATAGATAGGTACAAGTGATTAGTTACATGAGTTCTATCATCTAAGATAAAGATGAGAACTACACCTATTCCTTAAACTAGACCTTATCCCTATTAGTAACCACTGCAAGAAAATGAAATCTATATTACTCAAGTTGTACTCGCTTAGTACAACATAACCAATCAAAGGTTCTCCCTTCAGTTATTAGGGAATAAATTTTCTAATTTTTCAGACCACCATAAAATTATATTCCTTATAGAAAATAATGGGATCTTTCTAATGGTATATATGCAAACGATTTGGATTTCGGTATCTGTGTGTTATGTTTTATGTGGCATAAATCAACAATTCTACTTCTCCAACCCCAATTGAATTATGATTAAAGTAAGCGACTGATTATGGTTTGGCACTAGTTCCCCACAAGCAAGATCTTATGTCCGAAGCTTGTGAGTGAAAAAAAACTAATATTGAGGGAGTTTTATCTGTTGATACAACCAGCCTCAAACTGGACTATACCAGTAGCTGAACAAAAAAACAAAAATTATTTTAGTTTATTTTTAATGACTTTCAATGATTTTCCTATGAGATTGAACATAGCCATGGTGGCATTATTTCGCAGTTCGAGGTGGCACAGTAAAGCCAATGACATCGTTATGCAGAAGCGATAAACAATCCCCACAGGGTTGAACAAAAAGTGAAACTCCTAGCGGATATGAAAAAGCAAAATAGGTAAGCCAATCTGCAACACAATTTGTTTCTCCGTACGCATGCTCAGCTTAATTTGCCATTGCCATTGCCATTGGATGAGCGAGCTATTGGACAGCCCACAGCAAAACCATGCTCCTCCTTGCTCGTACCCCTCGGCCTTGTAAATCATGTAAAACCTGTAGAGCATCCACTTCTACTTCAAGATTGCAGAAGCCCAGTTCTCAAACTCACAAAGAGCCCCCCACAATTTGGCTTGAGAAAGGAAAAAACAATGACCAACATTATAAGAAAAACCACCAAGCTATTCACCATCCGATCCCCACCTAACGTAACCACTGCCGCAAGCCGCCCCATTAAAGGGAGAGCAGACCAAAAGACATGAATTGTCTCCTTAGGCTGATCATCACTAACCCCCACACGCTGCCTCCTAGGAAAAATCATCACGAAATTCAGTAGCAAGCTGGATTAGCTGCGAAATTGGATTGAAGGGAAGGTTACGCCGTGTCCATAGTTTCTAACAAATAGCATACTCCAAGCAACATGGTTATCAAGTCACTTCATCGAAGATTCACCAGTACTTGTGGCAACATAAAATCGTACTGTTAAGGCAGCATCAATTTTTTTATTCTTCTATTAATTTTCCAACCCACTGGTAGGAGAAAAGGAAAAAGACTTCGACCACATCACGATCTAGGTGCAAAAAAGAAGAAAGAAAATGGGGTCAGTCATCAATTTCTTTAAATTTAACAATATTAAACTGCAATAAAATTTTATGAATTTAGGTCTCCCGCCCGTTATTATTTTATTGGTCGATTTCGGTGCCCTAAATTTTTTAAAGCACCATAGCAATCCCCTACGTCTTACACGTTCCAAAAGTAGCCGTTAATTAAATTATTTACATCTTTATCAAAAAAAGATAATGTGCCTGCCACAATGATGCCACATAGCATTATTGCATAATACAATATAGTTTATGTCACAAATTCCGTAATAAAATATACATATGTTACAAATTGGATGTAGAGTCTCCAGCTGCCAACTAACTAAAGATGACGTGGAGAACTCCACTTGTCGATTTAAAAAATGCCGATGATTCAAGCCTTTGCAGATCATTAGGACACAACACTTAACACTACATATGCTGCCGGGAAGACTATTACCGACGTCACTGGCATCAAAACTACAAATCTCTCTCCGTTCCATTGTAACAGGCTCCTCATCACCATCTCCGCCAATGTCTGGTCTTCCCGCGCAGCGCGTCGTGGTCTGCGGTGGCGGAGTCATCGGCGCCTGCACGGCTTACTACTTATCCAAAAAGGCCGCAGCCGTCACGCTCGTCGAGCAATCCTCCGTGGCTTGCGCCGCCTCTGGCAAGGCCGGCGGGTTCCTCTCTCTCGACATGTGCGACGGCGAGCCTATCGCCGCCCTCGCTCGCACCGGCTACAATCTCCACCGTTCGCTCGCCCAAGAGCTCAATGGCCCGGAGTCGTACGGGTACCGCCCGCTCACCTCCCTGCTCGTCACCGTCAAGGAATCTTCGTCCGCACAGCCCAGCGAGGGCCTGCCTTCTTGGGTTGACGGGCCGGCTGCCGGCCCAGAAACGGTTTGGACAGCGGAAACAACGGCTCAACTGCACCCGCAGTTGTTTACCAGGGCTGTTCTGGCGAAGGCGGTGGAGAGTTATGGTGTGGAGGTGGTGATGGGGAAAGTGGAGAGGGTAGGGGTGGTGGAGGAGGAGGAGGAGGGAAGAGGGCGAGTTGACTCTGTGGTTTTGGCGGGTGGGCGAGTGATCGAGGCGGACTCGGTGGTGTTAGCACTTGGGCCGTGGAGCGGAAAGTTTGAGATGTTGAGTTCATTGTTCAGGGTATATGGGATCCGGACACATAGTATAGTCTTAGAGCCTAAAAACCCAGATGTTCTAACGCCACATGCTGTTTTCTTGGATTACTATCCGGCCGAGGGAGGTCACATGGAACCCGAGGTGTATGCCCGCCCGACAGGTATATCAACCCAAAAAATTTCTCCACGTTTAAATTGGACTTGGAAAATTCCTTCTGGTCATGGTTTTAGGTATATTAGTGAGAACGAGGAAACAATATAGTACATTGTTTTTGGTATGCTTATGGACCTTGTATTCAATATATTTGAAGAGATATATAATGTACTTACTAATAAAATGCATGGTTGTGTTTGTGATTACTAGGGGAGGTGTACTTGTGTGGGGTTTCATCACAGATGGAGGTGCCAGATGATCCGGAACAGATAACTGTCAACCCCGAGTCAATAAAGGTGTTAAAGAGAGTGGCCGGGACTCTGTCAAGCCATTTAGCAGCAGGAGAGGCACGAGTGAAGGCAGAGCAAGCCTGCTTCTTGCCATACACGGATGATAAAGTGCCTGTAATAGGTGAGCTTCCTGGGGTGAAGGGATGTTATGTGGCCACCGGGCATTACGCTTGGGGGATTCTTACTGGTCCTTCGACTGGTGCTGCAGTTGCTGAGCTTGTTTTAGACGGGCAATCTAAAATTGTTGATCTCACAAATTATAGTCCAGCCAGATTTGTTGGTGGGCAGAGAAAGGATTAAGATGGATGCTTATGGAATGCTGTTGTTGTGTACTGAATGTATTGAATAAAACTGCGATGAGAATTGTGAATAGGCATGTTGCCTAAAACTTTGTTTTAATCCTCTAATGTTTGTTTCTGACGAATTACAATCACCATAAGCATTCTGAAAAAGGAGATTTAAGGTTAGTTCCCAGGAGTTGAAAAAGAAATTTCAGCTGTCATTGTTACATAAAGATAAAACAAGTACAGGTCAGCATACGAGTTAGGCTTCCTGGAAATGAAATCGGATTTGGATGTTTAAATTTTATCCTTCCTTGTAGATGTAATAGTTCCAGCACATTTATTGCTGTGTTCTGATGGCAACCAAAACAGTGATATAAGCACAGGTAATACTCCCCTTATCCCCATTGAAGCTGTTTATTTTGGAGAATAATTTTTGTCCCACTCAGAATTGTTCTTTGAGAAATTTTATAGGGGATTAAAAGTTTATTTCAAAGTTTATCCCCTTCTTGTAACGGAAAATGGAAAATAGGAATTATAGTTCTTGTGCTTGTAAAAGTAAAAAAGAAACAGAGCTTGAAAATGATTACTGAGAAATTTAGCCTAGGAAAGTAGGAATTGCTTAGGTTTTGGAAGGGACTGGAGGTTCATGTCTAAATTTTTTTTGTCAGGTGTGTAGTAGGGTCTAAAGTATTTTGAGATGGACTTGGCACGTTTTTCTTTCGAGCCAATCTCGTTTCGAGAAATTTAGAGTCATATGGACACGGGCGAACACTCCATGGCACTGTTAGATAAAAGGTTCGAATCGGAATCATATCAGTAGCTCTAGTAGCGTACCAAAAGAAAATTCTAGGGATCAAGGCACTCGGGGCTAGCGACTAACCCCTCCGAAAACGGTTGGACGATTAAAGAATGCAACTCCTGAGCTTCTCGGGCAAGGAGTACTATGCCCACTCAAGAGCTCTCATTCTAAGCCAAGTCTGAAAGCTATGCATTCAAAAGTTCACAAACGCTTTCCTGGATCTATTGCAGACGAGAGCAACTTTGGATTGAATAGTAAATGTCAATTTAATTATTGAAGCCCTTTTGTTTATGCTAATTATTCAAGCCCTTTCTTTTCTTCCAAAATATAGAAAATCCTTTACCCTGATTTAGGCTTCCAAACAACTACCGGACACTCATATCATAATGAACGGCAGAAAGAGAAAGGCGCAAGGGCTTGCCCTCGAATCTAAAGAGCGAAATGAGAGTTGTGGTAGGTATAATGGGTTTTGTGGGCGAAATGAGTAATTCTTTCATTGCCGAGTACAACTTCAGACTGCTCACTAGCCAAATCGTATAATATGGCATTTTTAGAAGAACTCTTTAATGTCAAGAATAAAAATATTATTTGTTTTAAGAGTTTGATTATCTACCTATTGCTTAAGACAGAGTGTTCAAATGTTGGCCTACGTACTTGTTAAGTATGGCGAGAGTCTAGCTTTTCCTTTCGCTCCTGGCCTTGTAAGGGCTACTTTAAAGACGAGACAAAGGAGGTGGTGACCAAGTGAAGATGCTCATCACCTTACTATCATGGTTTCTCTGGCACTTCTTTTTTCTTTCGTCGCTGGGAGGCTTTAGGTCAAGAAATGGCCTCAAGGACTTTCGAACCATTTTAGGGGTGATCGACACTATTGGTTATACTATAGTTGATTGATGCAAATCTTAATCCCATTCCATGACAACTTGGGGCGAGATCGAGAAAAAATAAGGCCAAAAATGCCCGCATCGAAAGAAAAGATAGTCTTTAAATGAATGCCCCTATACTGCCTGAAATACTAAAAGAAAAGCGAACCAACTAGCGTCCAGAAGAGATGTGTACTGGCCTTGGCCAAGTGGAAAGCTAGCCAAACTTAAATATCAAAGTAGAAAGCAATTGCTTACCCTCTGCTCCATTTCCCTCTCGGGATGCGGAGGGCCTATGAGCCGTTAGTGATTAGAAGTGCTCTGACTTATCAGCCTTAAGCATCAACTCAAGGAAAGTTGAGTGAATGAAATCAAATCAATAGCCAACCGGGTTGGAGAGATGAAATGATCGATTCATCGGATCCTAGATCGTCACTAACGTGGCTCGAACCCGCAGCTTCCGCTTGACAGGGTGGTGCTCAAGGGCGGATCTAATGGGGCAAGGGGGGCCATGCCCCGCTAAGATCCTCCCCTACTTATGATATTACAACAAAAGCTAACATGTGGCTTGGTGTGCTTGGGCATTGTTATACATGACTCGAACGTAAATCTAGCGTCAAAGTTGTGTCTAAATGGTTGCCTGAGACGGGATTTCCTTAATGATGTGCCCTAAATAGGTTATAGCCTGTAAAGCTTTGTACAAAAAAAAAATAGCCATGTTTTGCATTTGTGGCGAAAATTGAAATATGAGAACTAGCATAGGTTTTTTCTTTGTCCGAGAAATAACATAGGTTATTCCGACAGATTAAATTTGGTGCTATACAAATTTGTCAAACATCCCAAAGGACCCAAACCAAATCAAATGTACTGTAATGACTATTGTCAAATTTTGCTAGTTGGAATTTTTATCCGTTAAGAGTGTGCAACCTAAAAATTGTATACACTTCAAAATGTAGTCGACAGGCATTGGTATTGCTTGAACTACGACTTTTTTTTTAGAATCAATCAATTTCATTACGAATTGGGTTAGAAAAATCCTAACAAGAGGAATACAATGCAGTAACTAATTAGGCTTGAGAAAAGCCTGAACCAAAAAAAATTACAAACAGAGAAACTATCAAGCCGGAACCGTTCCTGAAAATTTTATACACCAGAATTTACACAGAGTATGCATCTCTAGAGATAAAGGACGAGGTTTCAAGTTGGACAGGCCACAAAACGGCAGTTTTATATCAGCACATACAGTAGCAAGAACTGCATCTGGAGACCGATAACAGTGATTGAAGTATCGAGCATTCCTCTCCCTCCAAATATGATATATACCGGCACACTAGGCAATTCGTAAAATCATGGACTTAATGGTCTTCTTTTGCAGGAATTTCTGCACCTAGAGAAACTCTGTTGGCCAAGAGCATACAGTTCTGCCTACATTACAAAAGGAGAGAAGACGAGACCAGATTCCTACAGTGTAAGGACAAGTAAAGAATAAATGGTCTCTTGATTCCTTCGGGTCAGAGCAGAAGAGGCAGGAGGCATAGTGACAACTCCCCAGCCATGCAATCTCTTCCTAGTGGCTAAACGATCAAGGATTGCTAGCCAAGAAACAAAGTTGTGGCAAGGGATGTGGCCAACAGTCCATAGTAACTTAAACCAAGGGACACGAGGCTTTTAATACGAATGTGCTTCAGGCACTACGAACACTGTACAGCCCCAAAGATGACAATTTCCAATGGATTCGGTCAGCATCCGAAGATGGAGTAATGGCATGAGCAGCAGCTTGCTGCAGTTGAGAGAAGATAAGCAATTGGATACCAGGCCAGCACCAAGAATTATGAGCAATTAGTGTACAAATTTTTGCTTAAGGAAGAATTTTAGTGCTCAGAAATAGAGAAGCAGGAATAATAGTGAGAGATGGGGATGTGAAGAAGGGACGCAAATTAAGAATTTTCCTCATACTCCTTGAACTACGTTTTATACTATATACTATATTATATCAGGTATATTTTCTTTTGGACCTATCAAAGCTGACATTTGTTATTGAATTCCTTATTCCAATAACATGATCAGATTTTAACAGATGTTCAATTACTCAACGAGCTCCTCTAACTTACTTTCTTGAGAAATTTCCATAATTCTTTGGTTTTTCATTTGGTTTTAGTTCAAAGAAGAGGAGACCAAGCAAAATAAGAGGTATAAAATGGATTTTAGAAATAGAAATGACGAGAAATAAAGGAAGAAATCCGAGTAAAAAGGGCTCATAGAAATTAACCAGAGTCAATCCGCTCGATTGAATTGAGAAAAATAAAAGTGTGAAAAACAAATAAAGGAAGAAATAGCATTATCAGCAGGAAAATATTGGACAGCAATTTCACAAACATTTGTGTCTAAAGCTTATTTCATAAAATAATTTGGACAAAAAATTTGCAAAAACTAATACAAACAAAAATTCACTCTGAACAACACGTGTCAACATGATTCTAGCCTTCTAAAGATCCTTTTACAAAATTGTACTTCTTCAAAACGCAAGATATGCCGGCGATAGCACTGCCAACACCACTGGCATCAAACTTCAGTGTCTCCATAATTCTTGAGCCAACAATTGCTCGTAGTCGTAGAACACTCTCAATCCGGTGCTCCTCATCACCCACCCCGCCCATGTCTAGTCATCCCGCAAAGCGCGTCGTGGTGTGCGGAGGCGGAGTCATCGGCGTCTGCACGGCATACTTCTTATCCAAAAACGGCGCCGCCGTCACTCTCGTCGAGCAATCCTCCGTGGCGTGCGCCGCCTCCGGCAAGGCCGGCGGGTTCCTCGCTCTCGACTGGTGCGACGGCGGCCCTCTCGCCTCCCTTGCTCGCGCCAGCTTCGATCTCCACCGTTCGCTAGCCCAAGAGCTCAACGGCCCGGAATCCTACGGATACCGCGCGCTCACCACCCTCAGCGTCACCGTCACGGAATCTTCGTCGCCGTCCCGGAGCAAGCCAAGTAGAGGCCTGCCTTCTTGGGTTGACGGGCCGGCTGCAGGCCCAAGAACTATTGGGTCAATGGAGACAACGGCTCAAGTGCACCCGCAGTTGTTTACCAGGGCCGTTCTGGCGAAGGCGGTGGAGAGCTACGGTGTGGAGGTGGTGATTGGGAAAATGGAGAGATTGGGGGTGGTGGAGGAGGGGGAGGGAAGAGGGCGAGTTGACTCGGTGGTTTTGGCCGGTGGGCGAGTGATTGAGGCGGACGCGGTGGTTTTGGCACTTGGGCCATGGACCGGAAAGTTTGAGATGCTGAGTTCATTGTTCAGGGTATATGGGCTTCGAGCACACAGCATAGTTTTGGAGCCCAAAGATCCAGATGCTACAACGCCACATGCACTTTTCTTGAGTTATTATCCAGCTCAGGGAGGTCGGCCCATGGACCCGGAGGTGTATCCCCGCCCAACAGGTATGCACAAGATTTTGAGTTATATAAGTAATATTCACTTGCTTTGGTGTTGGAAATTTATTTTGGAAGATTTTAGTGTAGTGAGTAGTGGACGAGAAAACAAGACATAGTCCATTGTTTTTGGTATGCTTTAAAGTTATGGACCTACTATTGCAGTATTTGAATACTTAAATTTACTGATAAAATGGTTGTGTGGATTACTATAGGAGAGGTGTACGTGTGTGGCATGTCATCAGAGATGGAGGTGCCAGATGATCCGGAGCAGGTAATTGGCGACCCTGAGTCAATAAAGGTGCTAAAGAGAGTAGCCAGGACTGTGTCAAGCCACTTAGCAGAAGGAGAGGCACGAGTGAAGGCAGAGCAAGCTTGCTTCTTGCCATGCACGGATGATAGTGTGCCTATAATAGGTGAGATTCCGGGGGTGAAGGGATGTTATGTGGCCACTGGACATAGCTGTTGGGGGATTCTTAATGGTCCTGCTACTGGGGCTGCAATGGCTGAGCTTGTTTTAGACGGGCAATCCAAAATTGTTGATCTCACAAAATTTAGTCCAGCCAGATTTGTTGGCGGACGCAGAAGGCATTAGATTGCTTATTAATTAGATGCTGTTGTTGCGTATCCAATATTGAATAGAACTGCGATGAGAACTGGGATCAGGCATGTTGCCTAGTAACACTTTGTGTTTACTTGCATAATTTTTGCTTCTGATTGATTAAGGTGATTAGAGACATTTTTGAAAAGGGGATTTAGGATTGTTTTCCAGGAGTTAAAAGGAAATTTCTGCCGTCATTGTTACAGAAAGATAAAAACAAGCACAGGTCACCACATGAGCTTGGCTTCCTGGAAATGAAATGGGGGATTCGGATGCTAAAAATTTTATCCTTCCTTGTAAATGCAATACTTCCAACACATTTATTGCTGCATTCAGATAGCAATAATAGCAACAGCGACCTTTGTAAAAAATCCAAGCCTAGAGTTAGTTGGGACAGTAACATAAGCATAAGGACATCTTTAGATAGAGTTTGGGTCCATTATAGTCGTGGGTCCTTCGAGTTTTTAATGGCTGTTCTATTGCGTTCTTAGCTTGCTTGTCCCTGTAAGTAGGCAAGAGATCTCCTTTTTCTTTTCTTGCTTTTTTTGGTAGTGATAAAATAAAAAACGCAAGCATAAGGCTTGCCCCTAAGATTTTGCCACAAAAAAAAAAAAAAATATCCACCACTGTAGGGATCTGCACGTTAATGTTACCTTCACGAAATTCTTTTATGCCCCGTGGATAGGAATTTAATTCCCAAAATAAAGGCATTGGAATCACTAAAGAATAGATTCTCTAATAATGTACATCCATGTTGGTTTCCAAATCCCAATTCATTACAGAACATGGAACATCCATTTGTACTGACAACCTTCAAGTCAGAGAAAACAAATTACTAGGTTTATTTGGAGTCTGGATCCCGTATGTATACTGATACTAGTAGTAGTCTACTAGTATTACAATAACAATGAACCGTAGGGTACCGTGTGCTTTAAGGTCCCCAGTCGTAAAAGTAGACCAAAATCAGTCTTATTCACGGGGTCAATTACACTAACCAAAGCAAGATCTCTTCCATGGTAGTACTCAGTACTCACTTCTATATAATTCACCTCATTAGACTAATACTAATTCCAGGGCAAAGCACGTGCAACTCCAGCCTAGAATTAAAGCGATTTTTGACGGGATGCATCTAGCTTTTCAAAAGTGTATGTGTAATGAAAAAGATTTTGTCTCTTGAGGTGCGCATCTAGCGATGAGTGAACGGATGCAAAGGTTCTTCAGGACAAAAGCAGACTTGACAACAATCCCCACCAGGTACAGGAAAATACCAGCAACCTAAGATGGAGCCCTTGTTTTCTATGTATCAAAACCCCAATCATGCAACATGCATTGTTTGTTTATCTCCTCAGTTTAACGTTTTCTTTTATTGCGATCTGTCCAGAAAAAAGGAGCACTCAAGGTTCAAGTTTTTCCTGCCCCTCATTTTTCCTCCCATCCAATAAAGTGTAAAAGGTTCTGTATTATATATAAAGAAGAGAAAGAAGGGACATGATTGGAATACATATATATAAAGCATTTAAAGACTGTAGATTAGAAAAGATTATAGATTGATGGCTTTGTATAGAGAGGATAAAAATGTTAAGTTTGTCTCGCTAATGAAACTGTACCATACAATTTGATGTATTGGTTTTTGATGTATTGATGATGATGATGTTCCATCCAATTCTTTTTAGTTTTTACACAAAATTTGCCCGCCTGTAGTATTCCTCTCTCTTTTTTTTTTTCCCGTCAAAGACAAGCTAACCCAAACTTATTTTCATCAACAGAACTACCCGTTGAAGTTGCACTGCTATAGCTTCTGACCTCGAACTTCAGTTAAAATAGATTCTTTACTTTGCTTGCCCAGAAAGAGAGGGGCAGACACGATCCACTCAATAGGGACAGGTAAATGAAGTAAGCTGCTCACTGCAAGTAAACCCCCGCTATGTTGTCTTTATATTGACCACGAATGAACAACATTTTTGCCCACTTTGTGCTCGTTTTTTGCTCTTTTTACCTCAACATTTATGATTTTCCCATAGCCCTCTACAATCATGTCCATTTAACTGTAATATGGGAGGGATTTAGCCGTAAGCAGATAGTATTTTCCTTGTTTTTAATATATATTATCCAAGATATTGTGCTAAAACATGTTACAGCTTATACCTGATTCGTATGACATAAGAAAAGTCAGAAATTTGGGTTTTTGGTTTTTGAAAAAAATTATTGGTTGGCTTTGGTGATCTAAGTTGATGACCCCTCCAGGAAAGGTTCCTTCTTTTGGTCATCTTCTGCAAACATACGCGGGCCAACTCCACATCCTACCTTTTCCAAGTTGCTGTTACCAGCTTTTGACACAAAGAAAAGGGCTGATGTGCTTTAGAGCTTTAATTACCATATCCTTTTGCTTTCGACGGAGAAAAGAAGAGAATTTTTAGAATGCCAAACACTGTAAAGAAGCTTTTAACTGTTGTGGCCGAGGCATTAGAAAGGGAGCAGGACTTTCTTACCATTTGGTGATCTATGCAAATAATGGTGTACCAAACAAATCAGTTGTCCAATCTTTTAATCTTGGCTGTATTACTATTATAGGATGCTCACCTAGTTACTGAAATGTTTTAATAATAAGGTTAGCAAAGCTGCCAGAAAGTATTCCAAAAGTTATTAGGAAAAAAATATATATAAAAAAGACCAAAATGCTGTTGGATGAAATCATGATTCATGCATTCCCATGTGTACTCACACTTGTAGGATCTGAAGTTCATGAAATGTGATATACTGATATCTCTGTTGTCAAGTGTCTCTTTTTTATTTTCTTTCCTTCCCTTTCCCTTACTCCTCCAGCAAAAATCCAAGAAGAAAGCAACATAGGAACAAATAGAAGAAGCCAATGTCAAGAGACTTAACGTGGATCGGTGTGACAAACCACCAACATAGATAACAGCCTGTGCTGGATTTCTATTAAAAGGACCCCAAAAAAAGAGGGGAGATGGTCCGCTCGAGTTTGTCCACCGTCAAAACAGAGACAACAAATATCGTCGAATCAAATTCAGCAGAATTCTGGTTCAGTATTGAGTCAAGTAAAGACATAAGAGTATTTTCCAAGATCAACGACAGAATTATTGGACGCAAAAATTAGTGGACATAAGGCTTATGGGACATGGTTTGCATTGTTTTGTTACTAGAGTTTCTAGTCAAAGTTCATATGTATTGCTCTGAAGTGGCATATCATGATTACATAGTCCAGAGTAATTGCAGATTTTTTTGGTTGTACACATTAAGGCTGCCGGTAATCATATTGCGGTTGGACCAACTGCTTTTTTTTTTTTTTGACGGATGAAAACTGCTGCCTTTTTATGAAGTTGGTTTAGTTTTATATTGGCCCTGGTCCTTCACTGTTCTTAATGCCGAAAATGGAGCTTCCATTCTTAAGTTATTGACAGTGAGTGAAGTCCCTCGATGCGTACTGCTCTTCCCAATAAGAATGGACAAATTTAAAACGTCGTCTAGGGGCATTTGTTATGGACATTTCAATGGAGTAATTGGAGAAAACGGAAGCCCACTTTAGGATAATTTGTCCCCATCAACGAGAGAGGTTAATGATGTCGGAAAAAAAAAAACAGAAAAAACTTGTCTAGCAGCTTAAGATTATAGTACCCTGTATGTCAATGTAACTTGGTTATATAGCTGGGCCATGAAAATGATTATATACTCCAAATTCGAACGCTCTATGATAGACAACCCACAATGTGGGTACAACTTTGGCAAAAATTAGTAATCAAGCATTTATGAGACCAAGAAAAGTTACATTAATCTAGCTGCTAGTCAAGTTTCAAACTGCGGGGCAATCAATGAAAAGCCAAAATTTTTCATAAACCCAGAATTATGCTGGCTGCTGATGTGAATGTGATGAGATAATTTTAGGAGTTTGGACCCCCCTGGACCCGCAACTATAATGCTGCCACCGATAATATGGTCTATTATAGTAACCGATTTTCATTTTTCCCGGAACTTTAACCAATTTGCCATTTCTTTCACTCCTTTTACTGTTGATCACTAGGAAAAGCAGAAACTGAAGAAGCTCAGCCAACTTTCCTCATCCTTGAGAAGTACTAGTAGCCTTGTTTCCTAATGTGGTACAATTTACCTGCTGAATAATATGCTTCACGCCACCGCATTTAAAAAGGAAAAGAACTAGAGAAAAGAACAGCTCATATGGTAGCAATTTAATATACAAGCTGGGATTTCTAAAGTCAATCTAACAGTGTGACTGTGTGTGCGAGTAAGTATACTGCAAAATTCTACCTCCACCTGGATGTCTTATAGCAAAGATGCTATTCTTGTCCCCATTTCTTATTACTTAAATGCAAGGCATAGGGAAGCGAGAGAGGAAGAGAGTAGGAGTGTACACTAAACTAGACATGGTGCGAATCATTATTCATTTCCAGTTCCAGTGAACCTTAATTTATACCAGCACAGAGCATTTTGGTGTGGCAAGAAGTTTGGTTGGGCGAGCTGTGTATCTCTCTCTGCACAGTTCATTTTCTTTTCCTTTTCTTTTTTTAATTTTAACTACTTCCATCACATGGCATCATAAAACCCACTTATACCTGCCCCTCTCTCTTTCTGTCCCTCCCTCACTCTATCTTTTAGAGTATTTTCTTAGGTGGGATGTGGGATCACTCTGAGAAATCATGAGCTCCCTAAGTCTTCATCTCCATTTATGGTGGAGAATTCTTGCACTTATTCTTGTAACAGTAAAATCATTCGGGCTAAACACAGATGGTATCATCTTGCTCTCTTTCAAGTATTCTATTCTGAGTGACCCTCTAGGTGTGCTCCAGAGCTGGAACTACAACGAGGAGACTCCATGTTCATGGAATGGAGTAACCTGTGGAGGTCCAGGAATAGGGGATACTTCCTTTCGAGTCACAGGCTTGTCGCTTCCAAGAAGTCAGCTTCTTGGTTCAATCTCTGCGGATCTTGGCACCCTTGAACACCTTCAGTATCTTGATCTGTCAAACAATTCATTGAATGGATCCCTGCCTTTTCCACTCCTCAACGCAACCCAGCTTCGGTTTCTTGATTTGTCACACAACAGAATCTCTGGTAGTTTACCAGGGAGTTTGGGGCAGTTACAGAATCTTCAGTCTCTTAACCTCTCTGACAATGCCTTGGCGGGAAGTTTACCCGCCGATCTTGTTAATCTCCAGAATCTAGTTGTCATCTCTCTCAACAACAATTATTTCTCGGGTCCTCTTCCAAGTGGGTTTCAAGCAGTTCAAGTTTTGGATCTTTCTTCCAATCTCATCAATGGATCTCTGCCGCTGGGTTTTGGTGGTCATAGTCTTAGTTACTTGAACATCTCCTACAACAGGCTCTCGGGGCCAATCCCTGCAGAATTCGCAGCCAGTTTTCCTTCTAATTGCACCATTGATCTTTCATTCAACAATCTAACAGGAGAAGTTCCAGATTCCAGTGTTTTCTCGAATCAAAGGTCGCGTTCTTATGCAGGGAATCCTGGCATTTGCGGCAACCCAACAAGAAACCCATGCCCGATCCCTGCTTCACCATCCCCTCTCCCAAATGTATCTTCTTCCCCTCCTGCAATCGCTGCATTCCCCAAAATCATAGCCTCCTCCCCGGTAACCACCCCGCCAGGTGATTCAACTACCGGGTCTCAACAAGAAAGCGGCCTCAGGCCAGGAACTATCATCGGAATCATAATCGGCGACATCGCAGGGGTTGCAATACTGGGTATTATCTTCTTCTACGTCTACCACTGCCTAAAGAAGAAGAAGAACGTGGAGAAAACCCTGAAGAAAGAAGCCAATCTTGCAAAAGAAGAAACTTGGTCTTCTTCCTCCTCGGAATCAAGAGGGTTCACAAGATGGTCATGTCTACGCAAGAGAGGAGAGAACGAGGAAGAATCCGAGCCCACAAGCTCCGACAACGAAGAGGACCCGAAACCCAACAACAGCAACCACAACAGCAGTGTGCAGCATCAGCAGGAGCACTACCAGGAAAACAAAGGAGGCACGCTAGTCACAGTCGACGGCGGCGAAAAGCAGCTGGAGCTCGACACTCTACTCAAGGCGTCGGCCTACATCCTCGGTGCAACCGGTTCTAGTATCATGTACAAAGCAGTCCTCGAAGATGGGACGACCTTCGCCGTCCGTCGAATCGGCGAGAGCCATGTGGAGCGGTTCAGGGATTTCGAGACTCAGGTCCGGGTCATAGCCAAGTTGGTGCACCCCAACCTTGTTCGGATTCGTGGGTTCTATTGGGGAGTTGATGAGAAGCTTATCATCTATGACTTCGTCCCAAATGGCAGCCTAGCCAATGCTCGTTACAGTGAGTCCTCTTCCTCCTCCTCTGTTTCTTTGTTTCCTTTTTTCCTCCATTTTTCTTTTGCTCTTTTTTCAGTGATGAAGAGTGCGCATGTTAGCATGTGCTAACTTGTACTGTGAAAATGATTTATTTAAAGTTCGACGGTGGAGTAGGTGCAACCGAAACTTATTGTAGTTTAATGCATGAAAGCAAGTCAACCCTATGGTCCGGTCGTATTCCGCTAATCCCCTTCTTAGCCCCACCTGTTCTTGATAGCGATACACGTTACTCTCATTTCCAGAAAATTGCCTTCTCACTTTCCGGTTTCAAATTGACCCATCTTTTGTTATGTTTTGGTCATTAATTTTTTGCCAACTTGTACAAAGAGGCCGAGTGCCACTGGGATTCTGATTTTGCCCACTTTTGTTTGCTTTGCAGGGAAAGCAGGCTCCTCACCTTGTCACTTACCGTGGGAGTCCCGGCTCAAGATTGCGAAAGGTGTGGCCCGGGGGCTTTCCTTCCTCCATGAAAAGAAGCATGTCCACGCCAACTTGAAGCCCAGCAATATACTTTTGGGCTCGGATATGGAGCCCAGGATTGGCGATTTCGGGCTCGAAAGGCTCGTGACCGGGGACACGAGCTCGAAAGCCGGAGGATCAGCCCGGAATTTCGGCAGCAAGAGGTCCACGGCATCACGGGAAAGCTTTGACCTTATACCCGGGCCAAGTCCGAGTCCGAGCCCGAGTTCGATTGGTGGGCTGTCCCCCTACCATGCGCCGGAATCGCTTCGGAGCCTGAAGCCCAACCCAAAATGGGATGTGTACTCATTCGGGGTAATTTTTCTGGAGTTACTAACAGGGAAGGTGATAGTTGTGGACGAGTTGGGCCAAGGGAGTAATGGGCTTGTTGTTGAAGATAAGAACAGGGCCCTGAGGATGGCTGACGTGGCAATTCGGGCTGACGTGGAGGGTAAGGAGGACGCCTTGCTGGCCTGCTTCAAGTTGGGGTATAATTGCGCATCTCCTGTGCCGCAAAAGAGGCCAACAATGAAAGAAGTTTTACAAGTTCTTGATAAAGTCCCAACATCTACGTCATACTTTCATGGCCACTGATGATGAAGGAATAAAATGATTTTAAAAATTTCTCGAGCAGCTTGTAAAGAAATGTGTCCTCGATTGACTTATACTCAGTGGTAGGTCGTTTGTTTCTCTCTAGGTTTGATTTGTAACTGTGTGATATCATTAGTGGATCTCGATGTGTGACACTAATTTTCATGACCGCCCTTTTTCAGTAACCGGATTTAGGAATTGGATCTCTGTGTTTTTTTGTATGCCAAAAGTTTTTGGCCTATGTCTATCCCATCTTCGACACCTTATTTTATCCATATTTTAATCCCAACACCGTCACCACAATTGAGTTGCTGTTTATGCTCTTACGCAATTTTTTCTAATACCCAAATGCATATATTCGTTGGGTTGTGAAATGGGCTAATAATTATGTGAGAATAAATGACAACAGTAACGACATTTTGCTCTGAGATGACAGCGTAACGTATGTTTGCCAGATCTTGGGCTATATTTTATACAAAAAATGATGGATGGACATCTCTTCTGAGTTGTGACAGTTTTACTTGTATATTATTATCATACGTATACAAAATATAATAGTAGTAATTGATGTACGGAAGTGGAAAAAAATTAGAATAATGGTATTCTTTTTTTTAATAACTCGAATATGTAACGGTTTGAATGGAAGCAAATCCTCCTATTCCCCCAGTGGTTTCGGGTTAGTAATAAAGAATTGGGACTCACATGCTATTGCACTTATTTATCAGTTCAGAAGTCAGCAACGTACTTTGTTAAATTCGATGCTTTGCGCTTTCGGCAACCGAATGTCAAAATGTGCTATAAATGACAAGAGAAAGAACAGAGCTAGCAGGGCATTTTAAAATGTAGGGCTTTTACCTGTAAAAGTCCATAAAATCCGTGTGGCCAAAAAAGACCCATTAGATCCTGGATTATTATTGCCTAGTAATCTTCGTTTTAAAAAATGCCTAGCAAATCAAATTCTATAAGCATGTATCATTATTATGTGATAGGCTAACCTCTTTCTGTAATAAAGAAAAAAACATAATCTTATCTTTATAACTCAAACTCATGTTTCATTCAGACATATCGAGAGATTTATTTTTTCTGACCGATAACAACGGATTTATTTAATACTATGTGTCATATTCCATTACATTTAATGAACTCAACTTCTATTAATTATCTATATAAAGGGTCATATCTAGCCACATCATATTATACAAAATAGATCAAAATGCCACAAATCAAACCTAAATTACCTAGTAGGTTGGGATTCAATTAGTATTCCAATCAGGTTGAGATTTTGAACCCATCACTAGATCTTAGTGGTAATATACCATTATAAGGCTTGTTGAGCCCAATGTCCAACCTGGATTAAAAAAACCTCCCCTCGACCTAATTTTTTTACCCAAACAAAACCTAGATTGCCTATGATGTTTATTTGGTCACCTTATTTCTACATTCTCATGTGCTCTACTTATGGTAACATATAAAACACCTGCAATCTGTATAAGTTTCCAACAATTCAGCCGATATATGGACATCCAAAACCTAGAAATGAAGGCAACTTAGGCATATATGGGCCTGCATTTTAATTTCAAGAATATTTCTATTGGCATTTACAGAAAGGATAAACAGTGTGTTACCTGCATCATTTAACGTCAAAAATTCATAGACGAGAGAAATGGTAATTCCACCAGCGTTTGTCAGCTGAAGTATTTCCTTAAGGCCAATCAATCCTTTAATTCACAAATGAATAGACTAAGTTAATCAAAAAAAAAAAAAAGGACTAAGCAAACAAACAGTCTTACCAGTTGAATCAAATCTTCAATGAATAATTAATTACTTATATATGAAATTTCAATCAGAAATAATAATTTCTTAATACTTTTAAGATAATTGCAAATATTTAACTCTATAAATGTTAGTACTATATATATATATATATATTACTTTTTTTAATTGATTTGATTATATTATTTTGTAAAACGCTACATTTTAAGTTTGTAGAAGTAGTCGTTTACGTATGCTTTTCAGTGTTCAGTGTTCATTAAATTGAAATTATTTTCTTAGAGAAATTTTACTCCCAAAAGTGATTCCATAAATATGTAGTATTCACTAGGAAAGTTGAAACGACGCCAGCTGATCAAAGCGGTTAGAGTTTGAAATATTTAAAATGAACAAATGTGGGCTTTTTAGTCTCTTACCGACATCCATGATTGGGTCCGCTAAAAGCCCCAGAAAGCCCAGCCCAGAGAACCCCAACGGTTAGGTGAGTACTTCGAAGGAGAGAAATATTTGAAATGGAAAGGTAGCCGCTCTTCTCCACTTTTTAAATTCTCCCTCTCTCCATCTCCTCCTTCCATTCCCCAAAACAAAACACAAGAAGAAAAGCGTGAGCCTCTCTCTCTCTCTCTCTCCCTCTCTCTCTAACTCCACGCAGAAACCGGCCGGAGATGGCGACGAAGATCGGCATGATGGACGCGGCGTACTTCGTCGGAAGATCGGAGATCCTCTCCTGGATCAACTCCACGCTCCAACTCAACCTCTCCAAAGTCGAAGAGGTAACGCGTCTCCTCTCCCTAATTTTAATCTCTCCCTAATTTCACCGTTAAAAGTAAACGGTTGTCGGTGTTTTCTGTTTGGATCTGATGAGAATTTGAAATCTAAAACAATAAAATGAAGGCGTGCTCGGGGGCGGTGCACTGCCAGCTACTGGACTCGGTGCACCCGGGGATGGTGCCGATGCACAAGGTCAACTTCGACGCCAAGAGCGAGTACGAGATGATCCAAAACTACAAGGTCCTGCAAGACGTCTTCAACAAACTTAAGATCACTAAGGTTTGTGTGTGTTTTTATCGGTGTGGACGCAGATCTGAGTAATTTCTAGTGTGGCTCTGGTTTTTGTTTTTTGCTTATGTGTTTGTGTTTATGTGCGTGTGGCTTTGTTTTAGCATATTGAAGTGAGTAAGCTGGTGAAAGGACGGCCGCTTGATAACTTGGAGTTCATGCAGTGGTTGAAGCGCTACTGTGATTCCGTTAACGGAGGCCTTGTCAAGTAATTCTCCTCATTTGCCTTCACTACCTTTAAATTTCTGCAGATCGATTTTCTTTTTTTTCGTGAATTTAATTGGTTGTATTTGTTTGTGTTTAACGGCTAAATTGGGTTATGCATTTAGAACACCGGAATTTGGTTTTGGCATAGGTAGTTGATTTGACTCGGATGTTGCTGAAAAGTAGCACATCAATTAGCCATTGGTATTATATGCTAGCATGTGCAGTTACTTTTGGGAAGTGGTCTTTACCGGATGAATTAGCGCTTTGGAGTGAATCTAAAACAATCATACTTCTTCTGGTGATTTTGTTTGATTGGTTCTTTTCGGCATTCACAAAAGTTTTTGTGATCTCCGAATTCATAATCACACTGCTGTTTAGATTTTGCACGAATCGGGCAAATTATCTTCTCAGTGAACTCATGAACCAGTAACAGGGTTCATAACCTAGGTTTACTTCAAAATTTTTCAATTTCATGTAATTCACTTAATTTCCTATGGAAGGAGGGTCGAATACATATGAATATAGATTGCCGTGCAGTCAATCATTCCTTTACAATATGTGCTATTTCTTTGTACTATACTAATATGTTATCATGAGATTTTGGAGACTTATTTTCTCTGTTCGTGGGTAGTTATAATCCGTTGGAAAGGAGAGAGGCTAGCAAGGGAGGAAAAGAAGCAACCAAGAAGTGTTCATCTCAGTCATCTGCTAAAGCTTCTGCAGCTGCTCCCAGAGTTCAGTCCTCTCACAATGCACGAAGGAACGAGGCGCCCAACACCAACTCTTCTGGTCAGCCAATGAAAGCTTCCAAGCCTCCTACTTCAGTGCAAGTGCCTGCATATGATGAGCAGGTACAAGTTATTGACCACATAAAGTTCTTGCCATGTAATAGTACTGGATGTCTAATTGCTAATTCGTAATGCAGATTACTGAGCTTAAGTTGTCAGTGGACAGCCTTGAGAAGGAGAGGGACTTTTACTTCGCAAAGTTAAGAGACATTGAGATTCTGTGCCAAACCCCTGAGATCGAGAACCTAATTGTATTGTCTCTTTTCCATCTACCTTTGAGCGCATCTGAAGCTGAACATATTTACTTTCTAAACAGAAATTATTTTTTTAGAAAAGAAAGAAAATCCGCTGGAGTACTCACTTTTCATCCGATTGTATGTTTGCCCTCAGGTTGTTGAAGCAGTAAAAAAGATCTTATATGCTGCAGATAATGATGCATCGGTGGTGGCAGAAGCACAAGCCATGCTGTCAGCTCATCACCAGAAGGAACCAGAACTCTTGAGTCCTATTGCTGAGGTGTCAACAGAGGAAACCAATAGTTCAGAGAATCAGAAGAGAAAGAATATTGTGAACCTGGACGTTGAGGCTGTTGGAATCACAACATTGTCACCAAGGCAAAGGCTTTCTGATGCTACTGATGTCCGTTGTAGTGGGTCACCTCTTATGACTTACTGATCATCTCTTGAATCCGGAACAGACATTGCATTAAACAAATAGTTCTTTGCAAACATTTTGCCCCCTGTATCTACAATGCTGTTTTGATGTAACTGATGTTACTCAGCAAGTAATAGTGAGGACATGTATTCATTAGCTTATACTTTTAGCTTGAAAATGTTTTTTGAAGATTATTCTGCTTGTATTGTCATCTTAAAGAGGAGAAATTATGTTGCCTTTTCTGCATTAAGAAACGTTTACGGTCAGATCTTTGTTTGGCATGTTTTCTATCATGTTTCCTGTTAGGATTGAGGTATTAAACTAAAACGTGTCAATCATGTGTAACCAGATGTCCTACTGCCAGAAGAGAATGGTCAAGACATGCCAGAAATCTTTTCTATCTGACTTTCGGTCCCTATTCAATTTGATATTGCAAGCTATGCTATTTTAAGTGCCTTACCTAATGGTCGGCATATAAAAATCAAGCTGCAACGATACATTCTGGGATAACTTAGCCCTTCTTCTGTACACCAGTTTTTGGCATTTCATATGAATCAAGGTTCACTGTCAAGGCTTTGGAAATGAAACCCCGAACTTGCCAGTATAGGGCCGGAGATTGATGGGCTTGAACCCTGAAGGTACAAGGGTGATAGTTGGAGTAAAGATTACCAAAACTTGACACATCATATGTGCTTCTCCAAGTGTGAATGACATGTCATTAGCAAGACCAAGAAATATTATGATGAGTTTACTTAGAAGCCTGGTAAATTACTAATTAGTCTAACAAACGAAATTGCATAGCAATATGTAATAGAATAGGGTGGCATTTGGTAGTGTTTCCACGACATAAAAAGGACCCCTTGTCGTCAGGCTATCCTATCGTCATTTGAAGACCACAAACTAATGGCTGACTCTCCTTGAAGGTAGAAAAAATAGGTGACAGATCTTCCAGTATAAAAACCCAGAATACAACATCCTCCTTAATATATTTCCAAATTTAAGATAACCACAGAATTTGTCACTGTCACGTTCAACATGGCCGCCCAACAAGCCATAAGGGTAGAAAATCCAGCAAACTTCCTCTCATGCATCTTCTATGCATTAATAACATGAACGAAAAATCTGATTTTCTGTTTGATTGATGGTTTTTTTCTTATTCTTTTATTGTGCCAGGAGACGGAGGAGCTAAATGATAAACACATAGTAGAGAAAAGGGTGGAAACAATTGAGCACCGATCATCTCCAGGCCAACCCCAAGAGGTGAGGAGGGTGGAGGTGGTCCACCAGCCACAGCCAAGTAAAAATGCAAACACCACCGGCAAACTCTTGGAGAATGCTGCAGCTTCTGTGGTATCCACCCTTGATTCCGCCAAACAAGTACTCTCCGGGAAATGAAAGCACAACCTGCCGGAGCGTGAATGTTTGCACTTTGCACAATGTATTCAGCTTTGTTATTATTAAACAATGTTCACTTTTGCACGATTTTCTTTTCTTTCTTTCTTTCTCTTTTCTGGATCAATGTTAGGATATCGATTGACTTGTAAAGAAGCAGACAGTCATTACTAGCTAACCAGTCTGGTTTAAATCGTGCTGGTTAGTAATGTATCGGTAGAGATCCTCTGACACATTTTGGTTTTGTAATATTGGTACTTTGTCATAGATTTGAAGATGAAGCCCATGATCAGATGGTTTCCAACTTTTTATTGTGGTTTGGTTATTTCCCGCTACATTTTCTAGACAATAGCCAACCTGCTTAACTTCATCAAGAGATGATGAAACCTCTTAAGAAATTAGCTCTAATGTGTCTTAACACTAATTTTTCCTTTTCAAGTGCCCCGAGAAATTTAAGAGGGGTAATAAAAGGAAGACAAAAGGAGAAAGGGAAATCAAGGGCTGGCATCTTTCAGCCTGAGCCTAGACAATCATCCATGATCCGTAGGTCTGACCTTAGATGCCTTTTTTTGGTCTCCAGCATAAACCAAAATCATACTACGCCCAGAATCAAGGTTGTGACTGTTGATTAACATTGTCAGTAGAAAATGTCAGCATTCGAGCGACAGTTCTTCCAGGTTTGAAGAGAAAGAAGTGCACCTTTATCAATTTAGTGCTGTATGATAAATCCATCGCATCAGGTTCGAGTAGTTTTTTTTAGATGTAGAGACTTTTTATTTGTCAATTTGTTTATCTATAAAATCTTAAAAAGTTTGAAACTTATCAAACCAAGGCAGGATTATAAGTTTTTGTAGTAAAAGTAAGCAAGCTCCAACTTGGCTTTAGAAATGGCTGACTTTTCAGTTTTCAGTATAAATATGGGCCATGATGTAATGAAATTCTTTACGGATATGCAGATGAAGTTCTTCCAAATTTTAAGGAAGTTCAATCATCTTAATGTTCTTTCAACGAGAGGGTTAGTTCTTTCATCATTGGTCTGAGTTCTTGGAAATTTGTTGAACGTGTTCATAGTATTCTAGAAGTTCAGATTGAATGAGTTTCAATCTAGAGCTGTTCACTCTCTTGTTTCATCTGAGAGTTTTTGAAGTTACTTTACCAATTTTAATAGTATCAAATTTCAACTCATTGCGTTTATAAAGCTTTCTCGAGTTTGGTATACCTCACCGCACACTCAGTTTCAGTTCCAAAAAGAATAAAACAGAAGAGTAATATAAGGGTACATGTTGACGTATTGACGTATATGGGATGGGACCCCGCTATTGTATTTCTTTTTTGCTACAACAAACAAAAGGAATCACAGCCACTCCAATTCTACAGGCCTGCAGCTTCAAACCCATGCAAGCATGAGAACAGCTACCACCGAAAGCAAATCAAAGCTAGTTTGCCTTTATTCTTCCACATCCATCCATAAGAATCTTATTCTCTTCCCACTGTATTCCTTGGATAACAACCCCTTTTGCTTGTTTCATATTGCATTAATTATGCAAGCCAATATTTCTGTCTCTAGCTTAAAATCTCTCCTCTGAATTCTGAAGGTCTGCACAAGTCCACTTTAATTATCCTCTTTTATTTCTCAGCCTGTAAGTTCAGCCAATTAGTATTTGTTTTTTTACCCTTCACATATTTGTTCCTTGCCTACCCTGTAGATTTGTTTGAACTAGGTGAAGAGATGGGCTTGGCCATATCTAGACTAGTGAGGATGCTTTTTGCAAAGAAGGAAATGAGGATTCTGATGGTGGGTCTAGATGCTGCTGGCAAAACAACAATACTCTACAAGCTGAAGCTTGGAGAGATTGTTACTACTATTCCTACCATAGGTAATCTCTTGTTCACCACTTGCCTGATATTTTAACAAAGATTTGCGACTATTCCTTCTCCATTCTAGAAAAAAGTAGAGAAGGAAATTAAGAAAGTGCATCATGCCTTTGAAAGCGTTAATTGGTTCATATTTGACTCATGTTACCATCTTCTCTTGCTTTTGTTTATTTAGCTGAGAGAATACAGATTGAAAGTAGAATCAAACAATAACAACTTTCAGTCATCATTTATCTGAGGCTTTAAGCCTCTTCAATGGATTATGAGACATAATTTTTCAAAGTAAATGAAAATTCAAACATGATGGCTTTGATTTTACTGTTTCGTTGATTGGTTTTTATGTGCAGGTTTCAACGTGGAAACTGTTGAGTACAAAAATGTTAGCTTCACTGTCTGGGATGTTGGAGGGCAGGATAAGGTACCAGGCTTAAATATATTCAAACAAAATAAACGTCTGAATATATATTTAGTACCAGGGTTTTTATGAAAAACTTTTATACATGTAGCATATTCATTGTCCTCAGTTAATGTCATACTTATGTTATTTTGCACTTTCAGATGGAAAATGTTTTTCAGATGCATGATCGATTCTACTACAATGATGAATCGTTCTGTTAATTAGTAGATTGACTGCAATTCATATCTTTTTTTTTTTTACACAAGTTACTTTAAATTTTTGTTCTTCTACACTCTGCAGATTCGACCATTATGGAGACATTACTTTCAGAACACTCAGGGCCTTATCTTTGTGGTGGACAGCAATGACAGGGAAAGAATTTCTGAAGCCAGAGAGGAGCTGCATAGGATGCTAAACGAGGTGGGTATCATCTTCCTAGAGTTAAAAAATGTTACAATCATTATCAAAAGAAACGATAAAATGGTCTTTGAAACCAGAAATTATACAAGCCACATAAAAGGTTTTTGGTCACATTTGAAAAGATGTTCATAGTAAGTTACGATTTAGCTCTAACATGAAATTTGAACTGCAAGTGGCATTTTAAGGTATTGACGTAACCTCTTGCAATGTGCCTTTTGTTGTTGAATGCAGGTAGAACTACGCGATGCAACACTGCTTGTATTTGCCAATAAGCAAGACCTTCCAAATGCAATGAACGTTTCAGAAATCACTGATAAACTTGGCTTGCACTCATTGCGCCAGAGGCGTTGGTAATTAATTTGCCTTCACTTCAGCAATCCATTCTTCTAAGCCATTTTTGTTGCTAACTAAGCCATATATAGAATATGTAATAATATGACTGCTGTCTTGAGTAGCCCAAGTTTCAAGTGACCACCTAATTAAGCAGAGCTACTGATTTTTCTAGGTCTTTTGGAATTTGAAATAAATAAATAAATAAATAAGCATTATAAAATCCTGATCATCTGGGAATTAAAGCTGCCTAACCAGAGATTTTTCATGATTTTGCCACCACTATGCTTTGATTGGCTTTTTTCTTGGAACTTGTATTGTTTAATTGTACAGGTACATTCAAGCAACCTGTGCCACTTCTGGCCAAGGACTCTATGAAGGTCTTGATTGGCTGTCCAGCAATATCTCTAGCAAGGCAAGTTAAACCATTAGGTAGCTTGGTGCACTAATTAACTCTAGATATTACTTCCACCGCTATTCAGTTACAGTTTCGTATCAACAAAATGCAAAAGATGTTCAATAGGATTAATCTGATATATCTGCATTGGCTTGCAGGCATAATCCAGCTTCTTGTCGAGGCTCCATCTCGATCAAGGCTTCTATTGACTTACCTCAGGGAAGTTTTGAAACTTCTTCAACAGAAATGCTTGTTACTTAAGACTTTGCATTTAATAATAGTTGTTTTGAGTTACTGTTGTAAAAACTTATGAAAGGTTTGGTGTGATACATTATAGAGGCAGTGCCATAGCTTTGTATGAGTTCCCTTCTACCCGCAGGGACGAGTATTACTTTCCCACATTGCTTGAAATTTTCAATCGGTTTCAATTGATCATTAGGAGGCTATTATCTTGAAAATGAGAGGAGAAAAAAAAGAAAAGGAAAAAAAAATCCAGGTGATGGGGCTGAAGGCCTGTTGATTACTCACAGGTCAAAGGTGAGCCTGAAGCAAGCTCTTAGCTCTACTTAATCACTTGGAAACATTATATCATTTGGTGTAAACAATTATTATAACCTTAATTATATATTAGTTATGTGTCATGATTTTGTGGCATTATTATATAGTGAACGACGTCTCAGTTCGGATCATTGAGGATGCGCTTGTTAGTTGGTATATATTGCCAAGTTAGATGCTTCTTTTTATCATCTTGAACGACACGTCTTTTACAGAGTACCACGCTATTTGCCCCCATAAAAGAATGGCAAAAGAAGCCCACATAAGAGTTGCAGCATGTTTAGTAGGTAGGCATCCACACAAGCAAATGCAAATGCTATTTTCACATTTCTACTCCCATAAACATATATCTGTAACAAGTTGTAGATTTGATCCCTTATATAACACACCCAAAAACAAAGGGATACTCGCAAATAAGATATAGTATTTGGTTCATGGCAACTTGATAATGGTGAATGCTTTTTGAAAAAAAAAAAAAAGGAACATAACTGCCAGTTTTCAACTAGTTGTTATGGTTAGTAGATATATTCAGTGAAGCTAGATTAGAAATTCCTGAAAAGGGAACACACATAAATTGCAGGGAAAATTCTCATTTTCGTAGTAACATTAATAATCAGAGTTCAGTGTTAACTGTGTTAGGACTCGGGGGCGAAATGATACTTTCATAGATTTCAGTGTGAAAAGTTAACCGCAGAACACAATTCATTCCTTAAAATACAGAATTTTACAGAGTACTTTCACCAACAAATGGAATTACTGTAACAGTTAATTGGACTGGAATATCCCCACGACCATCCAGACTCTACTGGAATTTCAGTTTCAACTTAGGGCATAACCAGAACACATTTATAAACGCATCCCATCATTACAACTCCAAACCAGCTTGTAGTTAATGTCAATTCGCCGTCCATAACACACTTTTCAGTTCCATGGATTCTACATATTTCATGTTCCAGGCCGACATTGAAGTGTTTGGTTTATGTATATTTATTATAAGCAGCTACCTGAGTGAGAAACACATGCTTCAAGTTATCAGTAAAAGTTTCTGCAATTAAGATACAGAATATTTGGCATAACATTTTGCTACTAGGGTAAAGCGCTTCATTTCTGTTCAGCTTTTTAATTATGTTCTCGGATTAAATGGGCCTTGGTAGGTAAGTTCATAGATCACCGCCCTTGACTAAATATTAGTCTACCAGACCAGCACAGTCTAAAATCCTGTTGGATGATTAATGAGCTACTTAAAGATGCACCTATTATCTATCTCCACCAGTTATGATCTTCTTAAAGGGACTGGTGTCTCCCTGCTGGTGTGAATTTAAGAAAAAAGATGCTCCTGTATACCCACTTCACATCCTTACCTACTTACAGCACATTTTTCTCCTTTTGTCGGGTAATTTCCGACCCACACCAATGGCGCTACATAGGAATAGAGAAGAAGATCATTGAAAATTTAATTCCTCGAACTGCTATTAATCAGTTGGAAGTAAAGGAAGTACTATCGTTTTAAAGACATTGTCTAGAGCCATACCAGCTGGTCCCTTTTGATTTCTATCTCCCTCTCCCAGCTCAGGATTCCAAGTCCTACTATGTACCCACAATCTAAAGAAAAAAATGTTCGGATTAGGTGTACTTGAAACAGAGGATAGCTTGGAAGATAGGGACTCATCATAAGACTATAATGCAACAACTTTAACCTCTATCGGCTTGCTCCAAATTCAAAACTTCCCGGGTAGAAACAGATTTGTTTTCTTATTGGATTGTACACTGTCTACTGCTGCAGCTAGCAAGAAAAATGACTGTTGAATTTTTTAAAAAAACATATAGAGTTTTCCTGTACGTTATTTTGTCTCCCAATGAAAGCAGTGCAGTTTATGATCCAAAAAAAAAAGGGCATAGCATAGATATTTTGTCTGCTTTCCTCTGAGAAAACTCGTCAGGGTGGTTGGCACATCATAACCAAGTCCTGTCCTGATCATGTGAACTGTGAAGCCCTTTTTCCGGGGCTTCCTGCTAAGTTTTAATTTTTCAAGGGTCTCTTTAGCTAGCAGTTGAAACCTTGAATCCAGTGGGGTCGTTTACATGTCCTCCCTTTCTACCTCTTGATGAAACAAACCCTCTCAGGATTTGAGTATTTGCACAGCGGGCACACTGATGAATTAAGAGAAGCTCAAAATCATGTCCCAGAGTACTATTTTTGTTGTGGTGGACCATGGAAGCATTTATCTTGGTTGACTCGCATCAGCTGCTTTTTCTTTGCTTATTATATTGAGGAGACTAGAACAGATTTATTTCCCCTTTGAAGACGCAACTCTTTTGCATTACTTCATCGAAAAGACGTGAGGGGGGCTCTGGCAGGAACAAGAAACAATAGCTCATCTTTCTCCAAAACGATTCTGCATACTGCATTTTCCTCTTTCAGCTGCAGCTCAGTTGAATGAACAGGAGTGTAACAGCACCAGTGTTTGACAATAACAGTAGAATGTTATTATGTTGATCTTCATAGCCATCTAAGGAATATGACCAATATTTTCTGGAGTAAAATTAACTATTACTTTTACTCAAATTAATACTATGGAGTTGCCAAAAAAAGACAAATATCTCTGTCTTCCAGTAAATTTGGCCGTGCATTTGGTCTAGAAACAGGATTACAAAAGCAGGACTAGAGTGAGTAAGTATAATCTGGCAAGTTACAGCTTCAAGCAGTTGAGTGTTCGACTAGCATCGCTTCTATTTCTAACTTCTGAATCCCAAACGCTAAGGATCATTAATATACATCAGGTCAGAACAGACAATAGAATTTTGCACAGAAAAAAAGAGAACGGCGAAATCAGAAAAAGTGAATAGCAAAATCAATTAATAGAACCAAATGGCCATTTTGGTAATGCAATTTATCACGTCTAGCCTCTAGGTCCGGCCAAAGTGCTGCATTGCGTCAGATTGGCATCAGATTGTTGCTTAAAGCTGACCCTAATGCGATAGAATTCCCGAGGCCACTATTCGTTTTGAACTCAAAAGAAAAAATGCAAAGGAGTACAAATTTTCTATATTCAGCCCTTTCATGCTACTTTCTTCCAGTCAAATGCTAATGGCAAATGCATAATGACGAAGGAGACTAAAGGGTGGCTACTAGCTTGCTGTTGATTAACATATACCAGGAAGTCTAAACGGTGCGGCAACACAAACAAGTCCAAGACCCTTTTTGGAGAAAAAGAAAGAAGAAAAGAAAATTGTCACCATACCTATTTGAAAGAAGGGACATTAGTACTTTTCTGAGTGAGAGAATTGTTCAAACTGGTACTATGCAACTAAACCTTTTGGCCTTAAACTGGCGCTAATATTCGTCCATTGCTAAACTGATCCTCTATCTACTGTCTTTGCAGCAGTTGCTACTGAAACCGGCCAGAGTACTACACCACAATACTCATATATAGTAGGAAGAATTGTCAATATGAACAAATTCTCCTTTTTGTAAAGATTTGGCTTGGTTCAACGTTAATCAACCAAAGGGATGGAAACAAAACAAAAAGAAGGAACATAATAAAATCTGACAGGTTCACTAAGAAAAAAATTTAAAAAAATTTCCTCCCAGATGGAAGAAATATCCAAGTACACTCTTCAAAGCATTAAACCAATTCGACCCTGAAGTCTGAAGGACAATACAGATGTTTGACTTGTTTGCTCTTCCAGAACAAAAGAAATGGTTACATTGCTAAGTTGAACTCTAAAGCATGGAAGCTGTAATACTCAACATATTATTCATTTCCTGCCAATTCGCACATAAAACAGACATCTAAGCACAATGAAGCAGGAATTGGACATGAAAATGAATAAAACCATTATCCTACACAGCATAAAACAATGGCATGAGCAATTATGTATTAATAGGACAGTCCCCACACAAGAAAGTTAGGAAACTAGAACATGGCCAGATGACTAGCATTTGGTGATGCAAATCGAAGGACAGAGTTCATTTAGATACTTTTCCAAAATGATCACCTGGACTTGCTAATATTTCACAAAGCATAATGCCCTGCTGTAATGCACAAACAACAAATTTGGCAACCTATTCTCATCCCAGAAGAACAGATTTTTCTTCTTGTGATGGAGCTAAGAAAGTCTAGAAATACCGGAGGCATAAACATATAGGTAATGGATTCCTCTACCTAAAGAGTTTCAGAAAAGGACATGAAGCTAATGAACAAGTTAGCAAGCACATCTGTGTCTTCCATTACAAGTCCACTCCAGAATCATCAATCCATTTTTGCAGATAAACAAACCAGGACTCAGGAACTCCAATTCTCTTCCAATTATATATGCTGTTACACTTTGGTTCAGAAATAAGAATCACAAAGCAGAAGAAGGAGAAGACATCCAAGCTTTATCTATCGAGAAGCATGTCATCATGGAAAAGGAACAACAAAGCATTTTAAAATGAGACTTGCACATTTCAACTGCAACAAAAACATCCATTCTCCAACAAAGACATAATGAAGAAGTGGATTTCTCATATTATCCATTAACGATCCAGTTTCAAAGATTTTGCCGGAAATGTATTGCTAACTCCTGAAAACATAACTGCATCTCAACAACATAGAGCAACTACATTGCGATAGAGGGACTGTATAATAACATTTCATAAAAGTTTGAACAACAAAGATTAACGAGGACTGCCAAGCACGTCCACCAACATACTATTTAGGGAAGGCAACTGCATCTGCAAATCCTGGACTCTGCTCCTCTTGGACTGAAGGATTGGTGATGAAACAGTTGATGCAACAGACCACGAGTCATTCGAGCTGTCAGAGCTCAAAGTGGCATCAATGACACCATTTGGGCTGCTGGGTGGAGACAGATGCTTGCGTTTGTTGCTTTGGCTTAGGGCGCCTGAAAGCTCTGTAATGAGCTTGTAACATCCATTCACTTCATCCTATTGACATGTAGTAAACAGAACTTAACCAATGGAAATCTTAGGAAGCAGGAGGTTATGGATGATAATGAAACAGAGGAACCACACAAACCTCACTGATTTTCAGTACGGCCATTAGCTGATTCTGGCACTCTAAGTGATTACGTGGCTCAACCTCCTTAATGACATGTAGCATTATTGCAGTAGCTAATATAGAAGGAAGATAACGCATGAATCTTGAATCTGAAATCAAAATCCAACAATGGAAATCAGAGGCTGGAGACTAGCAATGACAAATCAGTCTTAGCATTTAATGCTCACAAATAAACCAAGCAAATGGCAATGAAATAATAGCTCTTCGATTACTTACCAGCAATGACAGAGAGAAGCAAACGCTCGCAACCGCACAGAAATTCCCAGTGCAAGTGAGTCTTTAGTCCAAGCCTCCTTATGATGTGATCAAAAAAGGAAATTGGGGTCACAGGATGCATTCTCCATTGAAGCGTAGACAGCACCAGAAGTTCCATTCTTTTTATAGTCTTTGCTTCGAACACAAATTTTGAGTCCTCCACCTAGATGACATAAACATGGCACGGATAATAACTCGAATAAATGATTGAACAAAACAACAAGTATGACATTTTCACAAGCACCCGAATGGCAAAACATTTTCACATACTTGCAAGTCCAAAAGAAGAAACACTTGGGTCTCCTCCACTTTGGTAGCCAAAGACAAACAAGCAACAGCAGCCAGTTGACCCATCCATGGCTTATCAATTTGAAACCTTAAACTGCAAAGAAACCTATCAAAGTAATTCATAGCCAGAACACAAGTTAAAGGAGTGAGCCCGTAATGTGACTTCACCCTTAAAATCCACTCAATAGCCTCCGCACGAGCAACCATCAAAGACCCATCAGAGAATACTGCATTATTAAGACTCAAATGGGCCTCTTTTTCTTTCGAGATTAGAGACAACAACTCATCATCTTCCCAATACAAATCTTGTTGAAGCAAAACAGAAGATAAAGATGTCTCCTTTCTCACTTTCTGAACATAAATTTCACTTCTTTCCTCATAATCCCCCTCAAAGCCCTCTTCTTCACAGAAAAGGCCATCAAAAACCAATGCTGATGCGCTCTGTTGAAGTTGCTGGGTCTCCTCCTCTAGTAAAGCCATGTTCTTCCTCAAGGAATTGAAGAACAAGATTCAATCCTCTTTTCATTATACCATCAAATACAGCAAAAACACATCCGAGTTCCTGTCTGGATATAGCATATCTTTCTCTCTCTAGACTTTTAGTGATAGAGGGAGGAGGAGAGACAGTGGAAGAGGGACTAATAGAGTGAGCAACTGAAGGGTTTTTACGTGAGAAGGGTTTCACGCCTGTCCCCCTTTTTTCTCCCTTTTTTTTCTTTTCTTTTCTTTTCATTTCTTTTTCTTTCCTCTTTCTTTTACTTTGCTTGTAATTTTCTCATTTTATTCGTTTTTATCTCTTTCACGATATGATTGATGAGTAAGAGGAAAAACTAAAAATAAAGTTATGTTACAGATCTGGTTTGTCCATTAGCAGATGAGTACTGAATGCCAGTTCTAAATTAAATTCTTTTCGTTGCCTACTATCTTTTAAAAAATATATAATTCTAAATTGAAATCTACCCTTATCCAATGTTACTATGTTAGGTTATGCACAAGAATATTAATAAGTAAAATATTCTAAATTCCTCCTGATCATTTGCTCCATAAGTGTGTAAACGAATTACTGGCTTTTTATTCTCTATCTTCTTGAGCTTTCCCATTAATTGTTCACTGTTTTGTTTATTGGCAATTTAGTCACTTACATTTTGGTAAATTCCAGAAAAAAAAAAACTGGTGGTCCAGCACAGCTGCTAAGTGTCACTGACGGTCAAGGCCAACAGGTAAAAAATGATTAATCAATGGCTTGGATAGATATTCATTAATGGTAGTTTCTTGGGGAAGATTAAAGATGTTCGGGGATCTAACACTTGTTTAGGACGGATCTGGGTTATGGCAATTACTTAATACTTTTTGATGTGAAAAATAGGAAGAAGCAGATGATGGAAGAATGTCATTTTAGGAGGAATTCTTCTAGTGATTCTTTTATCAATACCATCAAATTCCTAAATTTGGCTTGTTACGGGTAGAAGATATTGGGTTTTTTTTTTTTAACCTACTTAAGCTTTGAGAAAAATATTATTGCAAGTATTCGGTTAACTGAATTGGTTTTATTTTTTAATACAAAGTATTACATATCCCAGGTGAATAGATTTTGTTTGATCGTAGAATATACTACACAAGTTGAACCAAGTCTTTTGTCGTCCAAACCAACCTTTGAAACACAACAACAAAGAAAAAAAAACAACTGATGAAAACACATATGGTTAAAATTTGCGAAGTAGATACGTGCAAGAGCAGCAGTATCGGACTATTGGAGTGAGCTAGACTTAACATAATAAAAGAAAAATCATATAGGAAAAATTAATAAAATACTACTATTAAGAAGGGGAAAACCTACGAGAGCATATATCATGATGATTTCATTCATTTTGAAACCGCCATGGCTTTACGATTGCGCGTGACTTACACTTGCTAGCTTACTCTGTGATGTTTGGTCTGCACGCTCTCAAAGTGAGGCTCTGTTCAGGAATGGGGTCTTTTTGAGATTTAAAGCGTTGACCGAATCGAACGAAGACTGTCAATGTAAACATGTTCCGTAACGGGAAAGACCGTGCACGCGCCAAACAGCTGTTGCTTGCATTTGGAACAGGAACACACGACACAACAACAACAACAGGTGACTGAAGTAAGATGAGTTAATGAGTCGTAAAGCTAGTTACTACTACTACTGGTCTAAGGAGTTACTTGACATCTTCGATGAGTGTCTTCTTGACCTTGCCGTCCAGCCAATCCCTGAACATATGCAGAAAGAAGTGGTTGCAGATTACATTGATGATGTGGGGATGTGGGACTGGTCGAAAATTCATCCCATACTTATCGGAGGACACATGCCGGCGCATCTGGAATCACCTTCCTCCGGCTGGCCACAGAGGAACAGATCGAATCAAATGGAAGCATGAAGTCAAGGGCCATTTTTCTACTAAGACGGCATATGCCTCATTTGTGAAGCAATTCTGGAACCCCTCGGATTGCATCTGGAAGCTGATCTGGTCTTGGCAGGGTCCCTTGCGTATTTGCTCCTTCTTATGGTTGGCATGCCGTGCGAGACTCCTTACCAACCAAACAAGAGTTAGCAGACACATTGCGGATTCAACTTTATGCTCCCGCTGTGCATCAGCCCCGGAAACTACCATTCATGTTTTGAGAGATTGCATTTTTGCACAGGAAATATGGCTTTTGCTAGGAGTACGAGAGGTAGGAAATTCATTCTTTACTGAGGAAATTTACGAATGGTTTAAATCCAATCTCTCTAAGACTCATGCCGACTGCAGTGAAATGCCTTGGAAGATCATTTTTGGAGTTACTTGTTGGAAACTTTGGACTTGGCGGAACTGTCTGGTCCTGGGAGATGTTTCTTTGATTCCCCCAATCCTGTTAAGGATATTCTGTTTACTGTAAAAGACTTCACTCAAAGTTTGAGAAATAAACTTGCCAGGGGAGTGGGCGTCATCTTGGAAGATTCTGCGTTACAACCATGGAACCCACCTCAGGCTGGTTGTTGGAAGGTGAATGTAGACGGTGCCGTCCGACAACCAGGTGAAAAGGCTGCAGCGGGCGGACTAATCCGAAACCACGAAGGCAACTGGGGTGTTGGTTTTGCCCTGAACCTGGGATCCTGCCTTCCAATCAAAGCAGAATTACATGCTATTCTTATGGGCCTTCAAATTGCTTGGAGTTATGGCTTTCGAGATCTCATTTTGGAATCGGACTGTCAGGTGGCAGTGGATTGGATCAACTCATCTGTTGATCAGGATGCTGAACTAGATAATATTGTATGGGAAATTAAGTCTCTTTTGAGACTACCTTGGAGAGTTAGTATCCTATTTGTACCAAGGGGAGCAAACCGCTCTGCAGTTTTCTTGGCAAGCTTTGCTCTCCAATGTAGATTAGGCCTATCAATTCTCGAATTACCGCCTCCTGGCTAGGGATGGCAACGGGGCGGGGAATGTGCGGGTAGAGGAATCCCCGCCCCATCCCCGCGATCAAAAACTCCCCCCATCCCCATCCCCATTCCCCGCGGCGGGGCAAATTTAGTCCCCATCCCCACCATCCGCAATCCCCACGGATCCCCGCGGATCCCCACGGATCAAATTATTATTTTTTCTAAGCCATTACAGAATATATATAATTAATGCTAATGTTGCCATCCTTTTGTCAACAACCTGGAAATAACAAATATATTGTTATATGTAGAGTACAAAAGACAAAATATACATGCTGAGAACTATCGCAGCAGCCATCAAGAGGCTATTAATTACATTTAGGGGAGCTACTAAACAAGTTAAGCCCTGGCAAAAAATGGGCCTAATCTAGCCATGGATGGAGTATTAATTAGGAGGGTAAAATTGTCATTTTATATTTTTACAGGTCTCCGCGGGGCGGGTGCCATGATCCCCGTCCCCATCCCCAAATTAGTCTCGGGTTGAAAATTTCCCCCATCCCCATCCCCGCGGGTCAATAATCGTCCCCAACCCCATCCCCGCAGCGAGGAATCCCCGCGGATCCCCGCGCCCGTGGGGATTTTTGCCATCCCTACTCCTGGCTTGTCTGAACTCCTCAAGGAGGATGTCAATACCCTGGGTATGCCCAGGGCACTTCTGTAATTTGTTGGGCATTATATTATATCCATCAGTTCAAAAAAAAAAGTACTTGACATCTTAACCAAAACCTGGTATCTATCAAAGCTTTCTTGTCTGACCATCAGACACGTGCAATAAAGGCTGCAACTGCCACAAAGCTGACATAAATGCTAAACTACCCGGGTTCTACTTTTGGGCCCGAATTAGTCACCCCCCATTTGAAAAAATTCTGATTGGAATGTGGCACCATAGGTAGCCGGGTTCTATTTTTATAAGTGTATATATCCCTTTTTTTTTTTTATTAGACTGCTCAATTTTTTCTGTAGCCAACTAGCGATGAGTGTATGTACTATGTAGGACATTAGTATGGAGAATGTCAAGATAGCAGTGCAATGTCAAGGCCCAAATTATAGCTCAGCCTTTTAGGTATGTGCGAATCTGGAATTCATATGTTCTTTTTTATCATTTAGATATTTGTTAATTGAATTGTTGTATAAAATTTTGTCTACAGAAATTGATAGTTAAACAATAAATGTAGGTTAGTTTCAGCATTTTTGGGCTCATTTCTTGACAAAGATAGAGGTTTATAAATTTGTTTTTTAACTTAGTATGGGTTTGCCACAACTGAACCTTAATTTCTTTTCTTCTTGAAATTGAGTATTGGTTCCGTCCTAAAGTGATAACTCTTGGGCTAACACGATTATAATTTTAGCATAAATGGGCATTTTGGGTTAGGATATGAATTTTTATTATGAATCAGCATGAATTTGTCATTTAAATGTCCACACCAAGGAAAAATTAAAAAATGATGGATGAAACATATCAAGAACTAGTCATGCCAAGAGAAATAAGAAAGTTAAAATCTCACTATTACTGACGACTAATTATGGAAAGTTAAACTATTCATTAAAATCAGGAAGAATACTGTTGTATGTCACAACAAAATAAAAGTAAAAGGAAAAAAAATGGAGAAAGATAACACAAAATTGTGTTAAACTTGTAAAACCACGAGAAAAATTGTCATCGGTAACAGGCAGCTGCGAGTACAAAAGCGACAACTCATAAGAAAATAAAAAAGGAAAGTAGGAAGAGGGATGTCATTTTGTAGTGGTAGTTTTTGTTTTTGCATTGGAAAGATGAGAAAGAGGGAGGGGCATTGCCTTGAAAACAGACAAAAGCCCCAAGAAACCTCTCCTCTCTGGCTGCCTCTCTCTTCTGTCATCAACTTATCATAATTGTTGCCGTCTTGTCTGCCAGAAACTCGCGCCGTACGCTTCCTTTGATGTCTCCCGTTCCTCTCCTCCTAGCTAGCTACTCTCACTATACTATTATATCCACCGCTACTCCCTCCCACCCTATCCCCTTCAATTTCTTCATTACTTGCATAGATTTGTGTTCATT